TCACAGTATTGCTGTTTTATCCTTTTCTTGACTCCAACATCTTACTTATATAGGCTCCTGGTGATCTCTCCTAAAATTTTTAGTCTTTTCATCCCCTTTTTATAAATTGCTGGAAATCTTTTGGCATTGCTTTATTCAATAGTTTCACAAATTATTTTTGCCTTCTCCCTTTATTTAGACATTTATATTTACCAGTGGGCTGAATTGGTGTGTTCTATTTCTAGGTTTTGATTTTAAAAACTAAGACCCAATTTGATTTAAAAAATATATATACAGCATTATTTGAGTAAAATAATAAATCATTTGAATAAAATTAGCTTCCCAGTCATATGTACACCAAGTTTTAAAGTTCTTGAGACCAAGATTTCAGATTATGGTAAAAAAAAAAAAAAAGTTCTTCTCATTTATCCTCATATCTTCAGACTTCAGAAAAATATATTGAGTTATATATAATTGTTACTTTATATGTCCTGTCTTAGGTGTTTATCTCATATTTCCATTAGATACTCATTTCTTGCCTCCTGATATTTTATTGTGATAAAATGGATCTGAAGGTCACTTCAGAGAAAAATAACTTGTATTTTCTGAGTTTATTTTCTGCCTTTCCCTTTAAAATTTTTCCTTTATTGAAACTGAAGAAGTTATTGACAAATACAAACAGTTGGGCTCTTCAGTTTTTATTTTGGGTAAATATAAAATGGGAAACTTGTAAAACAAAATAATCTGTACTGATTTTATACTTTGTTTAAGAACTGGTTGCAAAAGGGGCACCTGGGTGGCTCAGTTGGTTAAGTGTCTGACTTCACCGCTAGTGGGTTCAAGCCCTGCATCAGGCTCTGTGCTGACAGCTTAGAACCTGGATAGGAGCCTGTTTTGGATTGTCTCCCTCTGTCTCTGCCCCTCCTCTGCTCATTCTCACTCTCTCTGTGTCTCTCAAAAGTGAATAAACATTAAAAAAAATTAAAAAAAAGAACTTGTATCTCAGTATTTGACATAGATTGTAAGTTGTTAACTTTTTGTTGTGGAAATTCTGAAGAATACACAAATCAGGATTCTCTCCATAATGCATCTAACAGGTCTCTTAAGTCTTCCCTTCTCTCCCTTCCCGTCCCCTTTTTTATTTATTTATTTGTTTATTTATTTTAAATTGAGTTGTATTATTATTTTTTTAATGTTTTATTTATTTCTGAGAGAGAGAGAGAGACCGCGTGAACAGGGGAAGGTCAGAGAGAGAGGGAGACACAGAATCTGAAACAGGCTGTGAGCTGGCTGTCAGCACAGAGCCCGACATGGGTCTTGAACCCACGAACCGTGAGATCATGACCTGAGCCGAAGTAGGACGCTTAACCGACTCAGCCACCCAGGCACCTCTATTTTTTTTTTTTTTTTAATGAGAGGAGGAAAAAGGCAGAGGGAAAGGGAGAGAGAGAATCTTAAGTCAAGCTCAAATCAAGCCCAAATCAAGTCAAACACTTAACCAACTGAGCCACTCAGGTGCCCAAGTTTCTTTTAATTTATATCAGTTTCCACTCTTTTTTTTTTTTTTTTTTTTAACATTATTCTCTGTTGAAGACACTGAATTGTAAATATGGCTGGCTGAGTACTTAGGGTCTCATTTCATGTTTGTCTAATGGTTTAGTTAGATTTGGGTCCTGTTTTCTTGTCATACCACGTGAGAATGCATAGGTCTGCTCATGCTCATCTTAATTTTAGTAAGATGGGTCACTGTGACCCATGAGTCACAGTGAGTCTGTGCGATATAGATCTAACACAAGTGAATGCATGTATACCTACCAAAATAATCATGCCCAAATATTCTTAGTAGCCCAGACACCCATCAGTAATAGAATGGGTAAATAAACTGTATTTGGATATGATAGAATGCTACCTAGTAATAAAAGGGACAAATTAACTGGTCTAACCAACAGTGCTGATACTCTTAAAGAAATAGTGTTGAGTGAAAAGAGTTGATGCAATAAAGAGCCTGCTCTCCGATTTCATGAAGATAGGCAAAATTGTCTGGTTTAAACTACTCTAAGAGACTCTTAGAGTCTCTAAGAGAAACAATACTACTTTCTTAAAAAGTCCTTTGCCCCCCTCTGATTGAAATAGCTTCCCTTAATCATATATTCAGTCTCCATAGGTACTGGGGCATATTTCCATGCCTGTTATCACATTGTTTTAACGATAGAAGTTTGATAGTGTAGGGTGTTTTTTTGTTCTTTAGGTTTTATTTCTTTTCATGTTTGTTTATTTATTTTGAGAGAGTGAGAGAGAGAGAGAGACAGAGCATGAGCAGTAGAGAGTCAGACAGAGAGGAAGATAGAGAATCCAAAGCAGAATCTGTCAGCACAGAGCCCAATACGGTAGTTGAATCTAAGAACCACCACATTCCACCTGAGCGGAAATCAAGAGTTAGATGTCTGGGGCACCTGAGTGGTTCAGTTGGTTAAGCTTCCAGCTTCAGCTCAGGTCATGAACTCATTGCTTGTGAGTTCAAGCCCAATGTCAGTCTCTCTGCTGTCACTGCACAGCCCACTTTGGATCCTCTGTCCCCCACTTTCTGCACCACCTTCCGAAAAAATAAACATTAAAAAAAAAGATGCCTAGGGGCGCCTGGGTGGCTTAGTCGGTTAAGCGTCCGACTTTCGCTTAGGTCATGATCTCGCGGTTCGTGGGTTCAAGTCCCGCGTCGGGCTCTGTGCTGACTGCCAGCTCAGAGCCTGGAGCCTGTTTTAGTCTGTGACTCCCTCTCTCTCTGACCCTCCCCTGCTCACGCTGTCTCTCTCTCTCTCTCCTAGAAATAAATAAAATATTAAAAAAAAAAAAAAAAAAGATGCCTAACTGACTGAGCCACCCAGGTGCCCCTAGATTTTATTTTTAAGTAATCTCTCCAACCAAGGTGGACCTCAAACTTAAAACCTTGAGATTAAGAGTCACATGCTCCATCAACTGAGCCAGCTAGGTGCCATCCCTTTTTATTATTTATTTTATTTTAGTTTTTAAAAGTAGACTTGACTCAATGTGGGGCTTGAACTTAAAACTTAAAGGTCAAGAGTCGTGTGCTCTACTGACCGAGCCAGTCAGGTGCCCCTAGAAGTTTTATGGTTTTTTTTTTGTTTGTTTTTTTAAATTTGTATTTAAATTTTGGTTAGTTAACATACGGTGCAATATTGGCTTTAGGAGTAGAATTCAGTGATTCATCACTTAACATTACAACCCCCATTGCTCATCACAAGTGCCCTACTTCATACCCATCATCCATCTAGTCCATCTCTCACCCACCTCCCTCCATCAGTCCTCAGTTCTCTGTCGTTAGAGTCTCTTATGGTTTATTTCCCTGTTTTTTGTCTCCCTTCCCATATGTTCATCTCTTTTGTTTCTTAAATTCCACATATGCGTGAAATCATACGGCATTTGTCTCTCTGACCGATTTTGGTTAACATAATCATCCATGTCATTGCAAATGGCAAGATTTCATTCTTTTTGATGGCTGAGTAATATTCCACCACACACACACACACACACACACACACACACACACACACCTTCTTTATCCATTTATCAGTCAGTGGACATTTGGGCTTTCTCCATAGTTATTGTTGTTATTTATATCTTTTAATATCTGACAGGGCTCATACTTTTCTCCAATCATTTTCCTGCCTTTTCAGGATTTTTCTAGCTACTCTTGTTTATTTATTCCTTCAAATTAACTATAATTAACTTGTTTAGCCTCAGAAAACAATAAAACCCTAAAGGTATTTTCATTAGGATTCTATTAAATTAAAAGATTATCTTAGGGAGAACTAATACCTTTGTGATGTTGAAGCATCCTTTCCAAGAACATGGTTTGTGTTTCCTGTTTGTTCTCTTTGTTTCTTTCAGTAATGTTTTAGACTTAACTAGGTTTCCTGTTGTTTATTGTTGTTAAATTTAAGCCTGTTTTAACTTTGGTGTTTAAATGGGATCATATTTTCTATTTTTACTCATTTTTTCCATTCAGTATTATTATTATTATTATTTTTACCAGTGGTTATTGTAAATATGAAGGCTTGATTTATGTTCTTAATTTTACATCCTGCTATTTGACTACAGTTTCTTATTATTTGGAATACTTTTCCCGTTGATTCTTTCAGATTTTTCAATTAAATATATTATTTACAAATTGAAGTAGAGATAGTCTTCCTCTTCAACCCTCATACCCATCCCGAATTGTATGCCCTTAATTGCTTTCTCTTGTCTAATTGCATTGACAGATACCTATATAATTTTGAATAGTAGTAGTGTCCTTATTTTTCTTGGCTTTAGTGTTTCCCCACTAACCTGTTGGGTTTTTTAAAAAAGCTATATAAGAAATGTAATTAATTTACATGCTTTAACACTTAGCTATTGCAACTGTACAGTTCAGTGATTTTTAAAATAAATTTATAGGGTTGTGCCACCATTACTCCAATCCAGTTGTAGAACAGTTTTGTTATTCCCAAAAGTTACCATGTGTTGTTTGTCCTTTTACAGTGGTTTATATGTTGGCAGGTATAGGAGGATATATTTATATGCTTGTGTATTCATTATGTAAATATGTATATCCTCTGCCTGTATAAATATATTTTTATCACTTAAGGAATTATCCATTAATTTCTTTTTTTTATTTAAAAAATTTTAAGGTTTATTTTTGAGTGAGAGAGTGTGAGTGAGGGAGGGGCAGAGAGAGAGAGGGAGTCACAGAATCTGAAACAGGCTCCAGGCTGTCAGCACAGAGCCTGATGTGAACCTTGAACTCGTGAACCTCATAACCTGAGCTGAAGTCAGATGCTCAACTGACTGAGCCACCCAGGCGCCCCGATTAATTTGTATTTCATTCCTTGCTTTTAATACAAATGAATGTTTTAAAGTTTTCTTCTTGGTAATGTTTTCAGTCAATGAGCTCAAATTGTTGTCTGTCTTGGCATAGTGAAAATGTTTCATGTTCTGAAACATTTGTCCCATGTTGTTTGTTGAAGAGGATGGCATTCCCTGTGGATATGCTGGATAATTGCAGTCATGAGGAATTGGAAAATTCTGCTGAAGATTATATGTCAGATCTAAGGTGTGGGGACCCTGAAAACCCCGAACGTTTTTCTCTTCTCAATATCACGGTAAGGTGTGCTAAGGTGGTTTTTATCAGTCTTTCAGTTGAGTTTATACATGAAATATATCTTCTTATTTTTGATCACTTAAAAAATGTTAGCTAATTTACACTTTTGAAATATTTATCAGAAGAGAATTCAGTAAAATGAAGAAATACTGATTGGTTAGCATAGCAGCATGATCAACTTTTTAAAAACACACTCTACAGGTGTTTGCTTAGTATTTATATTATCCTTTTAAAATTATATGTTTAACAGTTTTGCTAAGAATAGTTACTTGAACTGACTAAATTTAGATTGGGAATTTGTGATTTTAGAAGGTTTCTAATAAAAAAAATCAGCAGAATACTAAATTACATATTTTGTGCCACAGATCTTCATTGTTCTAAAGTACTAAAATCAAGCTTTCTAATTAGTAAGCATGATATATTGTGAAAGAAGATAATTATACTTGGAATGGTTAGAATTTCACTGACCTAGATGGTAGGCAAATTCTCTAACCTTTCTAGGCCTCAGAGTTTTCTTCTAGCAAGCGATGTTTAAAGGATTCTTTAAAGTCTCTTCTTCTAAGGCACCAATGTTTAATAATTATCTGAATTATAATATCATCTGTAAGCTGGGAATTATGGTCAGATTAATGAAGGTGAAAAAATCTTAGAGTATTGTGTATATCTCACTAGAAAAATAAATTTACCTGTCTGATGTCTTTTTACTACAAAATGGAGTTTTTCCCCCCATAAAATTGTCTAAATAACAGATAATAAACTATAGTTATGTTTTAATTAGTTTATATATACCATATCATGCCTTTGTTTTTATTCATGTCTGTGGCTAGAGCACAGTAATAATATTTATTGAAATAAACTTTAGTTCTCCCCCAAGATAACAAAATTCCTGGAAAAGGGAAGTCAAATATACTTTTTTTTGACATGAGAAATACCTTCTGTGAAATTATGTAATTAGCATTAATGTTGGAAAAGTTTAACATTTTGGTAGAAGCATGTTGTTTTTGTTATGTATTTTCTTAATAGACTTCTCACTAATCTTTACTCACTTGTCATTTCAGATTCCTATTAGCCTGTCCAATGTAGGCTTTGTACCTCTTTACGGTGGAGATCAGACTGAGAAAATTCTTGCTCTCTTTGCACCTGAGGACTCACTCACAGGTGTCTTTTTTTGCTTAATCTTTATGAATTGACGAATTTTTCTACAAACAAGGAATTTTTCTGCAAGAAAGTAGCTACATGAAGGAATTTTAAAAAGTGTTTCAAACTAAATTTAGGAAAATTTTCACTTGCTTGTAATTATAAATGTTTAATGACTGAAGTAAAATGGTATAAATGGGGCCACATGTATTATATAGTGTGGCTTTATTTAAGGTTACCTATATAAATGTTATCAAACAGTAATATTGTATGCTATAAGACTTAAATGTTAATAATCATTTATTCTGTTTTAGCTGTGGCACTTTACCTTGCTGATCAGTGGTGGGCCATTGATGATATTGTGAAAACATCTGTCCCTTCTAGAGAAGGGCTGAAGCAGGTAACAAGATCCTGTAATTAACAACTGTTTCTTATGAGGCCATTTCACAGTATGTATCCTATTAAACAGTGATGGTTCTTAAAATTATTGAGCCCTTCTCCATTTTAGTATGACCAGGTTGTATTAGACCCTTACAGTTTCACTGTTCTGATAAAACTGGTACTCTGATTGGGCTTCCTCAGTTTCATGTGGAAAAGTGAGGAAGAGTGAATCTCTTTGGGTTACTTGCATTGTAGTTACCTGTATTGACTTCAGCGTCTGGTTTTCTTATAGGGTAGAGAAAAAGCTAGTTCTCTCTATGTTTGCTTTGGTTCTCTGTCTCTAGGAGAGACTGAGCAGGAAACTTGCCTATCAGTAGGGCCATTTCAGGTGGTCTATTGAAGTGCTCTGAACAGCAGAATAGAAGGGAGATCCTCACTAGCATACTGCCAAACTGCTCTTTTACTGTCCTGGCCACCATATTATCGTTTCCTTAGAGGAAGACATAGATGACCTGCTGAATTCTGCATTCCACAGTGCTGAATGGGAGAGCCAGTCTGTGAAAGGCAGAATTAAGAAACAAAGAGAAAGATCTAACATGATGAAAAGTAGTACCCATAGGTTCAAAAATATAACTGCACATGTACACCATGAAGAATAAGCTAAAACAGCACATTTGAAAACGATTGGGCTTTAGTTAATTAGAAGTAAAATGAAGGTAAACAAAAGGTAATACAAAAACTTAAGTTTATATAGCAAAGGCCCATTGTCTTAGCAGTATCTTCAGTGTTTATATCTGTTATATTTTCAAGTCCCAATGGGAAGAGAGATGTTAAGGATCTGGGGCATTTCAAGGGAGAGAATTGGAATCGCAAGAGTACCCAAAATTGCCTTAGATCAGTCTTTTCTTTCAATTGTTCCTATATTCCTGTGGTATGAACTTGAGGAGGGTATCATGGCTCTCTTCAATTATTTTTAGGCTGTATGGCTCCAGAGTATTCAAGTACAGTCTTTGGCTATGGTTAGCTCAGTATAAAGAAGAATTTTGAACTGGTCAGAGCTGTTGAAGGAAGGAATGGGTTGCCTAGAAAGCAAGTGATCTTTGTCAGTTCATGTGTTGTTTGGTATATGACATCTCCTAGTGTGTAGTATAGTTAAGGGTTTGTTTTGTTTTGAGAGTACTGTTGGTATATGGGTTCATGCTTTTTTCCTTCACTCACCTAATTATAGGGCACGCTTGTTTTTCTTCAAGGAGACTTGAGGAGAAAATAGACTTTATGGGTAGCAAGTACTCTTGTTTTTAGTGGTGAAAGATGTCTCTAGGGGGAAAACCCCATTGTTTGATGTCAGAAAGTTGGTGAGCAGTACCAGTGACTCTGTAACCCTCTATGTAGGAAGTGGGGCTCTGTTTTCATTTTGTGATTGCCTCAAGGTTTATTTTTTTTTATTATTTTTTTAAATGTTTATTTCATTTTGAGAGAGAGAGGGGGACACAGAATCTGAAGCAGGCTCCAGGCTCTGAGCTGTCAGCACAGAGCCCGATGCGCGGCTCCAACTCCCAGACCGTGAGCTCATGACCTGAGCCGAAGTCGGATGCCTAACCGACTAAGCCCCCCAGGTGTCCCATCCCCAAGTTTGTTTTTTTATCAGACTTGTCTGGTGCCACTGTCATCACCCATCTCATCTGGCAAAAGGGCCTGTGGGTATGTATGTGAGGTGAGGCTGGTATTCCTTGTAGTTAGACAACAAAGCCGTGACTGTTAAGTGAACATTTTACCTGGAAGAAATGAGAGAGATTCCTTTCCTAAGAACATAATTAAAGCTTTGCTCATCCATTAAGGTAATGGTTCTTAAAGACCTAGAGGATAACATGAAGCACGAAGCTTTTTTTTCTTTTCTTTTTTTCTTCTTTATTTAATTTTGAGGCCGGAATGGGGTGAAAAGAGTTGAAGCAGTTGAGGGGGTGAGGGCAGCGTTTAGGGTGGGGGAAACCCTGGCTCTGAGCAGCTGGTAGCAGAAACATGATATTTTGGACGCTAAGGAGGAGATGGCTGGATCACTGGTACATTGGAAATTAGTTTGGCCTGTTTTGGAATTTTGCTGAGAGGCAGTATTTCTATGCATATGTGTCTATAGAAATGGATTGTTATTGGTATGAATGATTATGCTCCTCTGTATGATGAGAAGTTTAAGAAGTCATTTTGAGTGTATTTAAAGTGCTTTGCGCATGCCAGTATGAGGTGTGGAAGCAGGGGCCAAGGCAGATAGCATCTCTGAATGGATGTATATCATAACTGTTGTGCCTGGTGTCTGACTCTCTTTCCAGGTGAGAACTCTTGGGGAGAGAGTGGTTCTGTATGTTCTGAATCGAATTATTTATAGAAAACAGGAAATGGAGAGAAATGAGATACCATTCCTGTGCCATAGCAGTACCGATTACGCTAAGATTCTGTGGAAGAAAGGAGAGGCCATTGGGTTTTATTCAGTTAAGCCTACAGGTGAGTCTTTAAAAGTTATTTAAACTACGTATTACAGAAACTTCCTTTTTAGACCCCCAACTGTAGCCATAGCCTTTTAAATTACTTTTTAGAGTTTAAATTGAGGTGATTTTACTTAGTATTTCTTGGGTGTACTTTGATTTCACCCTTCTATGTGATGGTGGATTGTTAGGAAAGTCTTTTGAAAAACAAAACAAAAATAAATGTTGGATGGAGGTAAGATTTGTCCACATATGTGTAAAGAGAGTTGAACGTTGAGCCTCTGATTTGCCTGTCTTGACTCCCTCTGCCCTTCTCTCTCTCTCCCCCTCTCTCCTTTACATTTTAGGTAACACACAGTGTAGTATCTGTTTTAAGAGTAGAATTCAGTGATTCATCACTTACGTACAACACCCAGTGCTCATCACAAGTGCCCTCCTTAGTACCCATCACCCTTCCCTTTATTTAAAGTGGTGGTTTGATTCCTGCCGCTGTCACTGTTACAGGCTCCTTTTAAAACCACTGTCTGCCTGTGGACTAAATGCATCGCCTTTGTCTGCCTCACTCAGCTGATTCAGCCTGAAAAATTACCATGAAAAACAATCTATTTAGAGAATTCAAACAACTTCGAAATTATTAATCTTCTGAAGTTTGGATTTTTTAAAAATTTATTTTGAGAGACAGAGAGAGAGAGAGAGAGAGCATGAGCAGGGGAGGGGCAGAGAGAGGGAGAGAGAGAATCCGAAGCAGGCTCTGCACGGTCAGCTTGGAGCCCAGTGTGGGGCTCGAACTCACAAACCCGAAGATCATTACCTGAGCTGAGATTGAGGGTTGGACACTTAACCAAGACTGAGCCATTGAGGCACCGCTAAGTTTGGATTTTTGATCCTAAGACCCAGCTACACCCTATTCCTAAAAGATGGGAGCCGCTTCATCTTGCTTTACCTATTTTCCTGCTATTTCAGCTCCCTGGAGGTACTGGAGCCAGAAAGACCTAACCCGCCTGATCTGTGTACACACATACACCCACCACATAGCAAAGCCGGACTGTTCTGTACCTTGACCAGAAGACCTTTCATAGAGAACACTCAAATTATTTTTTGGTCTTATTTACAATTCACATTTTCCAGATTTAGCTCTTTTTTTGGTCTGATCAAGTTAAAGATCATGCCAGATTCACTGTTGATTTGCACAACAGTTGTGACTGATACCTTAATCACATAATTAATACACATTTATGAGAATTAGTGCATATAGTCAATGAAAAGGTCACTTTTTCTCAAGAATAAAAACTTGATCTGTAGTTTAAACTGGTTTGCTGTTTCACTAACTACTTTGGTTCTCCTTTAATATGCTATTTTATTCTTGCATAAGTTTGAAATAGAACCAATAGTTTATGTAACTTCAGAAAGGTGTCATTATACAGGGGCAGAATAATAATGTTGGTTAAATGGAAGCATTGCATAGAAGGCATCCGTTTTTTTTTTTCTTTAATGTTTTAATAACTCGGGTGGGTTGTGTTTTCATCACTTTAGTCTCGATTTTAAGCATTAATTCCTGTGGCCATTGGAGGATTTTTGCTTCATACGCTGGCTCCAGGGAAGTTCCCACCTGAAAGTAGCTCATAGGTATTTGGAGCACGTATTAGTTTATACGTATTTATTTGGAGCTTTGCTTTAGATGAAAGGCACACAGTTAAAGGGCATAGCATTCCTCTTGTAGCGTTTCTGATCAGTACTAGATTCCAGGAGTGTGCTTCTCTTCCATTTTCATGAGCATTTGAGCTCCTTCTCTCCTCGGGAACCTGGCCTCTAGTTTTGCTCATTTTGGTTGTTGACTAAACATTATATCCTGGAGCTTTCAAGTGCTACTTGTCTACCACTTTTAGCACCTTCCACGCTTTTCTGCTAATTTCATTACCTCCTTAACTGTTGGTTTTAGTTCTTTCCCACTTTAAAGTTTTGGCTCTCATCCACCAGATAACAATGGAATTAGGTGAGCTTATACCAGTCTTTGAAGTAATAACCATTTAATTCATTCTGGAAGTATTTTTTTTTTTAAAGGAAACCCAAGTGTAAAATATTTTGGAAAAATTGCTCAAAACAAATGTTGAAACACTTTCTGATAGAAGTATTTGTAATCTGTGTATCAGGAAAAAAACTACCAGTAACAAAAAGAATTTTTATTAAATTTGTAGTTGAATGAAAGCCTTTTGATATCACTTTTTATTTATGATGTTTAAGTTAAATAGGGTATCAGTATATCAGGATATTTATTGGGATGTAAAATTAGTCTTGATATATAAAAGGAGACTTCATGAAGTCAAATCCTATTACAGTATAATGAAATTCAAGAAACTATAAATTCTTTTTTGTCTGAAATAAAGAGATCAGTGTGGGGGACTTAGAGTTTGTATGGTTTTGGGGTTAGGTAGATGTCATTAAAAGTAGTTTTATCCAGTAGATTGTTGTATGAAGTCTGGAACATAACTCTAAGGGAACTCCCAGAATTTAATAACATTATAACAAAAGATTTTCTGGTCCTTGTATAGTTATTGAGTACTTTTATCTATAAAAAGATAGGAATAGGATTAATGCTGAACCATGTTTTATTCTGGAAGTAATATTCATTCGTGAACTCATAAACCAAAAAAAAAAAAAAAATTAAGCTACCTCTATGTCATTGATGATGTATTTTCAGTAAAAATTTGATTTTTAATCTAATAAGTAATTTTCTGAATGTATAATATATTTGTGTTTTGATCCATTGTGTGTTAATATTAATGGTGATGATAACTCAAAATTTCTTTTGGGTTGTTAATTAGAACTGTATGGTCACAAGAAATTTTAAAAATTTCTATTTGTGTACATGTATGTTTTTGCAATGAAGAACAGTTGGATGATCAGTAGGTATATAACCCAAGAATAAAAATATATTACATCAGGATAAAATTCTGTAGAATAAATACAAGAGAAATAGAAGTTGAAGGAGAAAAAGGAACAGTGTAACATTTTTGAGTGTTAAGGAATGGTTAGTTCAATAGTAAAGGAATAGTTTCTTCAGGAGATCATGAGGTTAACAAATTGATAATAGTCTTTATGGTCCTTTTGATAGGTTTATTAGAGTGATATAATTTTTCTTTATCTTTAATACTGTTTGTTAATTGAAAAGAGAAAAATAGTAAATTTACATAGAGAATCATGGCAGACACCATACCATGTTAATATCACCAGGAATAACACCTATCAATATCATGGACTCCTGATCTCTGATGGTCATAACATCATTTTTGGTATATTTACCCAAAACATAGAACCTTAATTTTATAATGAGAACTCATTTGACAAAACCAAATTGAAGGCTATTCTACAAAATAACTGATCAGTAATTTCTAAAAGTGTCAAGATCGTGAAAGACAAAGGTGAAGGAATGAATTATCAAAGATGAGAATTAAAGACATATTAAATTAAATCCAGTATGGAATCCTGCATTGGATTTGGAAACAGAGAAAAAGGCGTTAGTGGAAAAAGTGGTGAAATTTGAATAAGGTTCGAGTTGATAGTATTTTATCAATATTCATCTCCTGGTTTTGATAATAGTATTTTGGTGTTATAAGAAGTTAACATTAGGGGAAGCTGGATGAAGGGTATATTAGACTCTGTATATTTTTGCACACTTGCTTGTGCATTTTAGCATTTGCTAAAATGTTTATAATAGTTTCAATATGTAATTGATAATATGCTAGAAATTCTATCCTTGAGATTATTGAAATTTAAGATGAAAGTTTTAGATGTTACCAAAGATAAGTGAATACATGTATTTCAAAAAATTTTAAAGGTTACAACATGAGCAGAGATGTTTCCTTTGAGGAATTTGAGGTGGCCAAAAGAAAAACAATTCTGTAAATATCAATATTAGTGGTTCGCCTGGAAAAGGTCCCAGTCACATCTTCCTTCTGTGAAGCTCAATGTCAGCAGTCCCCACCGTGCACACAGATCATCTAATCAACTTAAATGTCTCATTCCTAACTGTGAACAAATTGCTTAGTTAGGGAAATCCACTGATAGGAAATATGGAGATCAAAACAAAAAAGAAAACAATTTGGAAGAGGCAGACAATGAAAAGATGAAACAAAACAACTGTTAATAATTTTTGAAAAGTAAGAGTAATCCTTACCCTGATAAAGTGAGGACAAAATATATTAAAAGAATGTCTGTAGAGCTCTTGGAAATTCAAAACTTGAATGTATGGAAGACAAAGTTGAGGAAATTGATCAGAAAGGAGAATGACTACAACATAAAATCAACCCTAAAAGATGGAAAATAGCAAAGAAAATTACAGGAATGGTCTGAATAATAGATGTTTCAGGAGAGAACAGAGAAACTGGAGAAGAAATTACCAATGAAATACTTCAAGAAAATTTGTCAGAACTATAGGACATGCATTTCCACTTTAAAAGGACCCCTTGAGCATCTATCACAGTAAATTAAAACAGACTCATACTGAGCTCGATTAGATGAAATTTCAGAAATCCGGGATAGAGTAAAGATTTTGTACATGTCCAGAGAATGAGAGAAGCATTTATACCAAGGATCAGGAATCAGAAGGATTAGATTGCTCATCAGTACTGAGCACAAGAAGTGAAACAAAGCCCTTAAGGCACTGAGGAAGTATGGTTATGGTGCAGTTGGGATTGGGTGTATAAATGTGTGGAAGAGCTAAACTCTCAACTTCCTTACTGGGAAGTCTGTTGGTGGTGCCTAAAATGGAAACATCAAGGGGCGCCTGGGTGGCTTAGTCGGTTAAGCGTCCGACTTTCGCTTAGGTCATGATCTCGCAGTTCGTGGGTTCAAGCCCCGCATTGGGCTCTGTGCTGACTGCCAGCTCAGAGCCTGGAGCCTGTTTCAGTCTGTGACTCCCTGTCTCTCTGACCCTCCCTTGCTCACGTTGTCTCTCTGTCTCTCTCTCTCTCTCCTAGAAATAAATAAAACATTAAAAAAAAAAATTAAAAAAATAAATAA